AAGAACAGAGCAAAATAATACAAAAATGAACAATGTAATTGTAGTAAACTCCCATAACGGGCAAAGAGGCCCAGGGTTGCATGCATTTTTTGCTATAGTCAATGTAACACTAGTGAAAATGGCTTACCTCCAGGATGAAAATGGATTTGAACATGTCTTGCATGTAAACTGTCCCAAAAGGAAAATGGTGGTTTTGCAGGTCACACATTTAAAACAGATAGATCCTGGAGTTGGACAGACTCTCGCAAAAGTCTCCATATGTAAATTTTGGATATCAATGAGGATATAAAAAGTGCATAACAAGGTGACAGGTAGAATGGTAATTGTTGTATCAAACAGAAGACACACGTTGTAGTCAGTGGAGTGTTTGACTTAAGGAAGTAAATTGCAGGAATTGATTACAAGCCAGAAGAAATTACAATTTTACAAACTTTTCACGACAGTAATACAAATCAACAAAAAAACAATAGCAAAATAAAGCAATTATAAGACAGTAAAAAAGAAATGTGTTCAATGAAAATGGGATACAGTCAAGTGGTTACATCCTGACTTCAAGCTAAGAAGAAAAATGTGTTTATGACAAAAAAATGTCCCCTTTTCATTAATTTAAAAAAAGATATCTCAGTATACATCTGTATGATTTATCTATAAATTTGGGGAGTGGGAATTTTTGGTATTCATCCCCCAGATTGAAACCAACAATTAGTCATCAGTATATACATTAGTCGGACTATTGTCCTCATCTTTGTCGCCATATTTGTCACAACGTTTCAGCCATTGTACGCTCCGGCCTTCTTCAGGTGGTTGGAATTTTGAACTGAACCCTTTATTTCGATCACTGGGGTAGACTGTTCTAGTTCCACAAAGCTGAAGGACAATAGTCCGACTAATGTAAATACTGTACATAATATCTCATCTCAGAAATATAGACAGAATTAGTCATCACTTCATTGTTTGGAAGATTGAGACTCATTCAATAAGCACTGTTTCCTTGAGTTACATACTGATATAACGAATACATTCATTTCCTTCCACCATGTTAACATTTTAAATCTCCACTTGATCAAATCTCTCCTGTGGCTCACTCATACACCATATGGGCTGAGTCACTTCCGACTTACATCCTTGCCTAATAAAACCTCTCTTAGGATTGATTCTTTTAGTCTGATAATTCAGATGGCATTTTTGTTCCCTGCGTTGTTAAGTGATCAAACTTGCTAACTTAGCACTTCAATCACTTCTTCATCTATACAGTTTAATTCTGATCTCTTCTTCTAAATTGGAGCTATTATTTTTTTAATCTTATGCCCCCTAGCAATGCAGTAAAGCCACTAAGACATGAGGGGTGACTGAGTGTAAAAAAAAAAAAAGAAAACGAAAAATATTATTATGGAGCAAGAACAATAAAAGAACAGACATTAAGAAGACAGAAGATAACTGATATTGCATTTAAATTTTTGAAGATCAAACTTGACTGTAAAGCAAGAAGCCTGAAGAGAGTTCTACAAGCAAGAAAAGAAATGGTTAGCATAGAACTTATGATTACATCTCGCCAATTCAACTGTAACTTGATGAAATCTTGCCACCAATGTAGTTTTGTGGTTGAATTCATAAAATCTAGGTACTATAGCAAAGAATATTAACAAAACTTTTGAGTGCAGGCATCACCAAATATTACTTAATTATAACAGTTTAGAGACAAAAGATTGCTTTGTGTTAATAGTATTAGTGATACTATTTTATGGAATATGTAAATCTTCTAAACAAAAGAAACAAGTCCACAGTGCACTGAAGCAAAAGAAAGAGTTTTGCTCCCACAATACCAGGTATCAATGCTATAAACACAAATAATTAATAAAAAACATTTTCATTGAGGTGAACAACAGTATCCAATACGTTTGTACAGATAGAAGATAATGATTGACTCTGCATTTAAATTTTGAAGAAATGTAATTGACAGGATAGCAGAAAGCTAGTGGAGAGTTCCACAAGTCTACAAGTGAGATATTCAAGAGAAGAAACTGTCAGCATAGAACTTCTAGTTACCCCTAGCAATTTCAACAGTGAAATTATGAGTCCTGGCTACTAATCTAATACTATGCTTAAATTTGTAAAGTTGAGGCACTTTGTAGGTACAAAAGACCCAAAATGAAAATATTTATAGAAGAGACAAAGGGAGGCTACATTATGGCAGTGAGAAAATGACTGAAACTGAGATGCCAGGTCAGGACTTATAACATTGTCAATTCCTCTTTGGATTTTATCAAGAACCTCAAGGCATGTAGCAAAGGCAGCAATATTCATTACATAAATGAATGGGTGACTTATAAATTAGGTAACTCCACTAAATTTTCAATATGTAAAGTTTAAAATGAATTTTTAAAAATGAAAAAGCATTCTTGAAGCCTTCATTTTAGCTTTAGTTGAAAGCTAAATTAGATTTACTATTTCCAGTAAACAAAATACTCTGGTGTATTTCAAATAGAAATCATATTGATTAGAATCTCAAGTTTTTGGTCGATTTCAGAAAATTGATAAAAATTGATAAATATTTGCCATTTTTGACACATTTGTAAACAAAAGTTAATTCTCGGTTTTAAAAATTTTCCAAAAATCAAATATATTTTTCAGAGATTTTATTTGAGAAATATTAGCTGATTTAAAGTATAATGAATCTGATTTGAAAAAAATATTATTTACTTTTGTTTAAAATAATAGAGAAATGAATTTTTAAAACAAACAATAGCAGTGATTACATACTTATCACTGTTGCTTGTAGATCACTTAACAAGTGATGATAAAATCTGTCATCACTTTTACTGTTGTTCTACGGAGATTTAATCTGTTAAAACGTAATTTAAGAAAATGATGGGTAAGTGCCTTTTTTATATCATTTTTAAGTACTTAGCAATCTTAAAAATGTTTGAAAATTTTCTCTGTAATCTAATTTTAGGAATGTTAAAATTGAATTTACTAGAGTCATCATTATAATTTTCTGATTATGTCATGTATGGTTGACCATACTTTCAAACAGCGGCAAGTTATGTAATATATTATATACATAAAAAATAAAATCAAACATTAAAAAAAAAATATTGGGTGTAAATGACTTTTATTGATTTTTGATTTGTAAATATAGTTTTCACTTAATAACAATATCATCTAACTGGATTGAAGTAATTCAGAATTTTAAACAATTTATAATATTAATTATTATAATTAAAATTTTGAAAATGAAAACAATTCTTGTAAAAATTCATTATTCATTGAAAAAAAATTTTTCTTAAGACAATAGTGTGCTTAATAAATCTTATTTATAAAGGCAATTAAAAGATTTTCTAATTAAATAATGTCATAGATTTATTGCATTTTTTATTTTATGATTCAGAGCAAATTTTTGGTAATTGGGTGGGAAAGATCCTGTTTTTAAAAAAAAATGATTTAAATTCTCCAGGGAGTTCTGCTTTTAACTAATAAAACAAATTTTGAGATTGCAATTTCTCAAAGTGGTGTAACATATGTAAAAAAAAAAAATTATTTACCAAGATTTTCCACCAAAAATTCAAAAATAATTTCATTCCCTTGTGAATAAGTCCTGAAAGTTTCATTCAAATACAACAATTATTTGATTTTTGTAAGAATTTCCAAATCAATGTTTTACACCTGGAAAAAAAAGGCACAAAAACACTAATCATAAATATTACATTGACCACTGACGTAAAAAAAAAAAAGATTTTTAACCAAAATTTTGGACGTGCTGATTAAAAAATTCAATAAAATAATAAAAAAATACTTCGGTAATAATAACAAAAATTTTGACAATAAAACATTTTTATTAAGTTTCGAGCCTTTTTTCATCATGCTATGCTGTTTTTTCAGTGAGAAAGTGGAGGTACCTACTTATAAATGTACAAGATACACAGATAACATTTTGCAGGCCATTATTACAGTAGAGAATACCATCCAACATTGTCTTGTATATTAAACTAGCATAGTAAAACTCAACAGGGTGACTTGCCATGAAGTAATGGTTAACAAGCTATTCTTGTAACTCATTACTACTGTAAGGTATTCTATCCTCATTGGATACTCTACATTCATTGTCTTGTCATAGATGAAACTAGCATAGTAAAACAAAACTGGGTGGTTTGTCATGAAGCAATAGCTAAAAAGCTAGTTGTGCAGACTATTCTTCTTTTCTGTGCCATATTCCTTCAGAATTTAGGTAATCATGGCTCTCCACAACTTCCTATCCTTTGCAGCTCTAAGAAATGTTTACCCTTTACTATCATTCCCAGTCACATCCATTTATGCATTGTCTCTATATTAAATGACAATCTAAGATTTGAACTCCATACTGTCTCTACATTACAAAATTTATGACACTGATGACAATACTGGTAAGTTAATATATAATAAGGAAATTTTTGTTTCTTTATTTAGTGGCATATCAACTTTTATTGGTTATTTAATGTCGAAATTTAATTTTTATAGAAGCATTAGTAATTTCTTTTTCAAAAATGTATTTCTGGTAATAATTTTTTTTTTTTTTTTACACAAATATATTGATGGTATTTTTTTTACTACAAAAATGTATTGCTGGTATTTTCACTATAAGAATGTATTTTTATACTTTCATAGTGTTTTGACTGCAGTTTTGGGGTGGGGGTAACTATTTGCCCATAGTTGGAACCCTAACAGGTGCTACCACCCTAAGTCAGGTTTATCTGAAAACAACAGCAGTTAAAAAATGGTTCCATGCTCCTCAAAACCTCCCAATCAGAGGCCTTGCTGCTGGATGCAGTTTATTGTCATACCTAGGACATGGGAAAATTATAGTTCTAAAACACAAAATAAAGAAAAATAAAACCAATTCCATTGGTCATACATTCCAAATCTTATTTATGAGACAATTTTACAATTCCATCAACAAATTGTTTTAGGAATTTTGTTTTTTGTCTGATTCATTATTGAAATGATTTTATTTATATTTTACTTACTGTTTTCCTCCAGCAAAATCTGGTTGAATGATGAATCATAAAACTGCAGTCCATTGAGTCCAATGTAGTAAGGATCACCCCAGGTACTGAATAATTGCAACTGGTAGATGACTAAGAAAAACAGTTAAGGAAACAGCACAAGGCAAAATCAAAAGAAATTGGAGAAAAAAAAAAAAAGAGACAAATTTAAGTTGATTTTCATTTGATAAATGTACTGCTTCAGCTTTGAATATGCTGGTATTATAAATATGGAGCTGACCAATATAGACTATAAAAAATAATAAAGATTAATTTTCAAAATTATTTCTATACTGTTTCAGTATAAAATATGAAGTATTACATATATGACACTGATCACTGAAGAGTACAAAAAAAAATGTTCAAGTTGATTTCTATATTGTTTTACTATGAAATATACTCGTATTATGGAAATGGAGCCCCAAGCACTAAATGTAGAAAAAAAAAAAGAAATGATAAATTCCAATTGATTTCTCTATTCAGCATGAAATATACTGGTATTATAGATATGGGGCTAATCACAGGAAGCTACAAAAATAAGATAAATTCAAGGTGATTTCTATATTGTTTCAGTATAAAATATGTTGGTATTATGGAAATGGAGGCTGAACACAAAAAAAAAAAAAAAAATGAAAATAAATTATAAATTCCAATTGATTTCTCTATTGAGTATGAAATATACTGGTATTATAGATATGGAGCTGGTCACTAAAATCTAATAATTAAAACATGATAAATTTCAAAGTGCTTTCTATATTCCTTCAGCATGAAATATACTGGATATTATACAAAATATATAAAATACAAGGTGTTCCCCAAAAATTGACATCATTTTGTAGTCTATAACCTAGCCTATTCTCACTCAAATGATCTCAAGTTTTAAGAAAATGTGTAAAACCTAAGTTGACTGTGCAGAAGAATCTACCAGAAATATGGATTCGGTGTTCTGTTGAAATGGCCACCACGTTCACCTGACTTGACACCTTGTGAATTTTTCTATGGGGCTATGTGAGAGGACAGGTCTGTATTCCCCACTTTCGCTACAATCCTAGAGGAACTTAAGCAGAGAATCACTAAGGTTCTGGAGAATATTATACCAGACATTCTACAGCATGTTTGGCAGAAGCTGGACTACCAAAGTGATTGAATATTTGTGAAGCTTTGTGAAATTGTTTATAAAATCTACATTTTTATGAATATCTTGTTCAAATTCTGATAAATAATTGTTTTTTTGTTCAACATGAAGCCTATTTAATTGTGTTCGGCTGGGAAATGTAGTTACTCAGTCACATTTTAAATAATGTCATTTTTTGGGGGGACACTCTATACATTGGTATTATGATCAATAAAAGAGTAGAACAAATTTAAATTGATTCCTACTTGTTGAAATTCTTGCTACAGCTAGCAGCCAGATATCCTTTCATAAGTTTCATTCTGTTTTTGCACACGTACTTTCTAGATTTATAAGGTCATGAGATGCATTTTTAAACAACAATCCAAGAAACCTTAAAAAATTATACTGCTTCTAATACACTGGTTTTATTGACGATATTCTTTCCAAAAATAAGTTAAGAACATTCACAAGATTAAAGTTTTATGTAGATACATCAATGATTTCAGAAACTAATGATGAAAAAAAACATTTTCCACAAATGTTGATTTTTCTACATGATCTCGTCCTTCATCTATACATTTAATTCAGTTGTAACATTCGGTCACATACATCAAACATTATATGATGAAAACTGGAAATAAAAATTCAGCTAATAACTATGTATTTTAGTGAGGACCATCTTTCTTTGAAACTCATGAACTGGCACTATAGAATCCCAAATGAAGAACTTTACCAAATAATAGAAACTATAGAACATTAGCAAATAATAGAAAATGTGATTTGAAAAGAAAATATTGACATAATCAAGATGCTGAAATTCCACACTACTTCAAACAAAAGGTTAGGAAGGAAACTTCCATCAATACTGGAAAGAACTATAAAAATACTTGAGAAATCTATTTTGATGAAAAATTGTTTTAATAGAAAGATTTTATAAATAGCACTGGTGTCTCAATGAATGCCAAATGTTTCCTTATAAGGAAATGGTTAACATTCCCAAAGCTATTGCATAAATGTCAGAAAAGAGAGAAAAATTCCAATGTGTGTGTTTGAACAAAGGTACTGAGTCCATGTAATGAGGCACTATATGGTGCCAACCATTATGGCAGTGAATTGAAGAAACTCTTCCTCAGAAAAACTGACCAAAAATATTTTGTAGTAAATGTTCCACTTGATCTTCTATTTCCTATAAATACTGTCTATAAATAAAGCTGACTCCTTCCGTTTTCATTGACTTTTCCTGATAAATCAAGAAAAGAACAGTGAGCTGTCAGGATTTGTCCTTTCTGATGTGGGTAATAATTTTTCTTTATATAGATATAGCTGACCTGCCAATTCAGGTTTAAGTCTTAAGACTGCAACTTTAGTAGGTTTCCAACAGTTTAAAGCATTAGTTAATGACCAACTGGATTGTAATATACTGCTGCTTGTTCATTGTTATAAGATATCAGATGATTTATTTTGTGGTTGTATGATTAAATTACTAAGGCACATGGAAATGGTTCATGTGAAGATTATGGAAGAAAACTTTAAGACAGTCTTTAAAAAGACAGTCAAAGCTGTTTAATGTGCAATGAGGAGGGCATAGGAAAAAATTCCTTCGTTTTCAGAATAAGCATTGTATACAATGTCAGATTTTATTGTGCAAACCAATGTTTTCATAATAAAACAATCTATTGTAGCATATCTATGGATGATAATGGATATGTCCCCATTCACATAAATACAGTAGTGTTATAGTGGAACACACCTATTCTATAATTAATAGACTCTCCCACCTATAATAAGTAGGAGTAGTAAGAGTAACAAGGGAGTCGCTCAGTGGGTCAGTCAGTTGACGCCGGATGACCGTTAGTCGGATATTAAAGTATCAGTGACCACAACTAGATTTCTCTGTGTCATTACCTATTATATCAAGTTCCTAACGTTTTGTATGTCAAACCTATTTTAGGACCGACTTAGTACAAATACAAGCCTCCACTGTGAAACCACACCATAACAAGTAGTAAATACTGTATGTTGGACTGCAGTTGGAGTTTCATTGTGGAATTCACTTGACTCACTTCTAGCAGTTGACTACTTCTTCTATGTGCCACTGGTGAATTTTATATGTGTTGCTCGTGTCTTATCATTCATTACTAAAATTTGTTTGATTATTCTATTCAGAAACCTTCCCTACATTACAATACTCATGTTAGTAAAAATTCCAGGATATATTTATGAGCAATATATTGTATGAGATTCAGCTTATGTCTATAAAGGTCATAGAAACATATTTGATTAATACAGTATCCTATATACCAGAATAAATTATTATTTTACATAGTAATATGAGCTGCTTGACATACTATAACCTTCATCAGCCTTTTGGCCATTGTCTTTATGCAGTCGTTTACTGTTTCAACATTAACATTACTTGCAGCAGTCTCTGTTGTTTTCAGATATCTTCTTTGCTTGAATATTCTCTTTTATTCTCATATACACTTCCTTTAATTATGAATTTTTTTTTTCTATTGGATTAGAACAAGCTTTTTGACAAGATTGGCAATAGACAGTTTTGCATAATGCAAAAGTTTAGTATCTTGTATAAATATACTCTTTAGCTTACAGCTTCTTAATTATGATCTGTACCATGCAAAACGCCTCGTTCAAGAACTTACTGTAAATTTCTGCATTAATCTTAAACTATCATCACATTTAAAGAGAACTCTAATTTTAATGCTACAAAACTACTTTCCTACAGTTGTCCTCTATGTTAGCTATTTCCATGAATAAATCAATCTCTAGCCCAGTGTTTCCCAAACAGTGTGATGGAAGAGGATAGCAGGTGAGGCAGAATAATTGAAAGAGAAAGATTTAGAAACAGTATGAAAAAATACAAATGCCAAAAATAAATATGATTTCAAAATTTAAAATATTATTATGGATTACTTGCATGAGTCCCAATATAAATAGTTACAAATAATTATTGACCAATTTTATCATTGTGATATCTTTGCATTATATCAAGTACTAGCAGTAGAGCCCGGCATTGCCCGGGGATGTAACAGTAAGAGATAGATCAAGTATCGACCATCATAAAGACTGAAAAATAAAATTGACAAAGATTATTGTTTAAGGTTGATGGACAACGCATGTCTTAATTAGTTTTATTTTTTTTTTTTTTTACGAATTGGTCAAACCCAAACTCAAACAAAAGTATTGTTTTCAATCGTTATGAGTCTACCGATTGAATAGAATTTTATTATAAACAATTGTCTTGTAAATGGAATTTTTAAAACATTCTGAATGTAAAAATAAAGATAAAAGTGTGCAAGACAATAAGAAACAATACCTGCCAAAAAAAAAGTGAAGTTTTGTTGAAATTGGTTGAAAAATGTAGGAAATCCAATCCCATATATAAATGAACACACACACACACACACACACACACACACACAAACAACCTGGTTTTTATAATAAGTATAACTCGATATGAGTTGGCCCCCTTTCATTCCGCGAAAGCGATGTATCTTAATTGTGTTTTCAAATTGATTTTGTGCAAAAACAATTGTGTTTTTCCATTTTTTGGCACTGTCAGAACCACCACAAGGTAATTTTACATCGTCCTGTGAAGTTTTGTTGAAATCGGTTGAAAAATGTAGGAAATCCGATCCAATATATAAACATACAGACACACATACAACCTGGGTTTTATAATAAGTATGATTAAGAATATATTAACAAGAGTCCACTATTTAGAGGAATCAGTTATCAATGATAATGTTCTGACTTTGAATCTGCAGTTATCTCCCTTTTAACCCTCTCTCTGTTTCTTTTTTTAAAATTTTTAAATGTTCTTTTTATCGTATAAAATTTGGTGAGGCTTGAACAAATTTTCATTCCAAAAACGTGGCCCAGAGAAAAAAGTTTGGAAACCATTGCTCTAGCCCATCCCACTGGTTTGTCCAATGTAGCTCTACATTCATCATTACAAATA